CGTGGTCCTTCGCTCATATTTATAATATAAACGTGGTTCTTCGCTCATATTAGCCACGTAATAACGGTCCTTCGCTCATATTTACAATAAAAACGTGGTCCTCCGCTCATTTTTATCACGTAATCATGGTCCTTCGCTCATATTTATAATATAATCGTGGTCCTTCGCTCATATTTTTAATAAAAACGTGGTTCTTCGCTCATATTTATAATATAATCGTGGTCCTTCGCTCATATTAGCCACACGGTCATTCGCTCATATTTACAAAAAAAACGTGGTCCTTCACTCATATTTATAATCCTCTTTCTCCCATAATGTAATTTTTAGTAGCCGGTGATTTGCCCAACCTAATTTGAGATTACCTCCCACAGTGCAGCAAAATGTAATTGAGTGATCACTGGTTCATTGCCCAAGTTGCAGAAATATGCAGTCTTGAACATGTGGGGTCTGGCAGCACCCCTGGGTCAGGGATATCATATATCCTGCAGCCAACCATGTTAGCATATAGAGGTGACTCAAGGGAATATTTTTTACTAATCCTGTTTATTTGGTGCATTCCTGAGGATAAAACAGGACGTGTTTTTGTCAGCGCTCCCGTTGAATTTCGTCTACATTGAATTGCAAGAAACCCGTACACAGCTCATGCTGAGAACTGGTAAGTACAGTTCAGCCAAGGCTAACTACATAAAATACTGTAATGGATACACGAGCCTACAGTTTCATACCACAGAGCATAGCCTAAGTGCTGATCGGTCAAGGCTAACTCCATAAAATACCGTAATGGATACAGGAGGCTACTGTTTCATACCGCTGAGCATAGCCTGAGTGCTGATCAGTCAAGGCTAACTACATAAAATACCGTAATGGATATATGAGGCTACTGTTTCATACCGCTGAGCACAGCCTGAGTGCTGATCAGTCAAAGCTAACTACATAAAATACCGTAATGGATACACGAGGCTACTGTTTCATACCGCTGAGCATAGCCTGAGTGCTGATCAGTCAAAGCTAACTACATAAAATACCGTAATGGATACACGAGGCTACTGTTTCATACCACTGAGCATGGCCTGAGTGCATGCCAGTTCAACTCTGCTGGTAGCAAGTACACATATAAAAGCTTGCTCATCCAACTATAAATTTCCATACTGGGGCGGTATGGACAATTGATAACTACATGTGGCTCTGCTAGAATGCAAATATTTTTGATATGCACTACTGTCATTTCTGTGTGATTCCTTGCATGGCGTTTATTTTATGGTGATGCATGGAAACCTTTTCCTGTCAGTAACAGTGGGTTCTCATTCATTGTTATTACAGGAAGTGGTCCAACTGTGAACCACTTGCATGAAGCATGTCAATGCGAAACATGTCCTCCTTGCAGCTTACTGATGCAGAAAAGCTTCTTCTTACAGAGCCTTCAACAACCAGGTCTGGGAAAGTGCGACAAAAACAGCAGAAAAACGGGGATATTGAAAAAGATGCAACTGTTAGTGACATTGAAAATGAGGAAATGATGGATACAAGCAATGGCACATCTGGAGAAAGTGTAGACCCACCGCCACCAGAAAATATAGACCCACCACCATCAGAAAGTAGGGAGCAACCACTACCAGAAATGTAGGGGATAATTGTAAGCCATGCCCCGGTACATGGCAGTACTTCTGACGACGATTATGGTTCATACATGTCCTCACCATCCCCACCACCTCCAGTAGATTCCTCATCAGGGAGTGAAATAGGTGGTTTTTCATCTGAAGATGAAGAGATGGCACGGTTAAGATTACGCATCCACAATGCCAAATTTATAGAAAACACCTGGAAAACAGTATATACTGAACCAGCACACTACTCTGAGTCTGAAGACGACAGTAGTAGGATAGATGATGATGGATGGAGTACAATGCTAAAAAAAACGCCATACACAGCCCTTCACTGGTAACACACCTGGACCAAGCATTGATTTGGGTGAGGGTGCAAAACCCATTGATGCTTTATACTCCATCTTTCCAAGATCTCTGGTGAAAAGATTATGGAAAGAAACCAACAGTTATGCAACCTGGTGCATCATAAGAATGGGGGGAATAGATTCTGGTCTCCAGCTAGCAGTGAAGAAATAAGTGCACTGATTGGAATAATTGCCATCATGGGTGTTGATTCAAAACCAGAGATAGCAGACTACTGGTCCACCTACCAAGCTATAAGAAATGACTACATTGCCAATGTTATGAGCCGCAACAGGTACCAAAAACTGATGCAGTATTTTCACTGTAACAACCCAGAAAATGACCCAATGAATATAGTCAATGATGAAGAACGCAGAGAAAGGAGAAAAGAAGCGCCTCTGTATAAAGTACAGCCAGTACTGGATGCTGTCTTCACCAATTCCCGGGAATGTTACGACATGCATCGCCAGGTTTGCATAGATGAATCTATTGTTGGCTACAAGGGTCGTTATGGAGGACTACCTACAGTTTTTATCCAGGGAAAACCCCATGCTAAGGGATTCAAAATATATGCCTTGGCTGATAGCAAATCATGCTACAACTACAGGATTGAGATCATGTCAATGACTGGTAGTCATGAGAAGTATAGAAGGGCTGTGTCCAGAACAAGAGATCTGTGTGAAAGGCTTATCGTTGACATTAGGGGATGCCATTATGTCCTGTACACTGACAGTTATTATACCAGTGTAGACATGGTGAGTTACCTGCTAGAAAATCATGAAATATATGTGGTTGGCAGCGTTAGGTAAGATAGAGTGGGATTTCCAAATGCCCTCCGTACCAACCCCAAGAAAAATTTAAATCACAAGGCAATAACAAATTTAGAGAGAGGACAGTTTGTATCCAGACAAAAGGATACAGTGGTGGCTATATCATGGAAGGACTCCAACCTCCTGAATATACTGACAACATACTATACTATAGGCTGTAGAGCCGGGAATCAAAGAGTTAACCGTTTTCTGCGCTCACCAGATACTGGCAGGAAAGTAGCATACTCTCTACCTTCCCCAGAAGCAATTTATGACTACAATCTGTACATGGGTGGAGTTGAAAAGTCAAACCAACTCAGGTCCTATTATACAGCCCAGCGTCAGTCAAAGAAATGGTGGAAGTACATCTTTTTCTACCCTCTGGATACTGCTATATGCAACAGCTGGATCCTGTACAAAGAATCAGTGGATCCAAAGAAAATGCACAAAGCCTTCCAAATTGAAGTTGGCATGGCACTGGTTGGTGGTTTTTCATCCCGAAAGCAGCATACCAGAAATTCTGAGCCTGTGATCAGCTCATTCAAAAACCATCATTTAGTACATGGTCAGCGCTCCCGTGGCTCATCCTGCAGATGGTGCATTCAGTTAGGGAGAAAAACAAGGAAAGGTTGCCCTGTATCGACTGTGTTCAGATGTCAGGAGTGTAGCATCAACCTATGCAAGGGCTGTTTTCTGCCCTACCACCATGTGGCCACAGGTTGCCCAGACAGACCCAAGACAACACAGACCAGTGAAAATGATCTTCAAGAGTCCAGAAAAAGATGGGATCATGGCAGGAGTGATGGTACAGCAGTCAGAGGTGGCAGAGGAGGCGGCAGAGTTGGAACAAGGGGAAGAAGAAGAGGAGGAATCAGAAAAGTCTGAAGAACAGATTATTGGGCCCCAGGGTGGAGGGTCTTGATAGGAGACTGAGAAGACATGTACATGACATGTAAGCTTACCATGTTTTTTTTTATTATTGCAGCATAGAAGATAAAGCCTCAGAATACAAGATATATATCACTACTATACACAATTATACGTTTGTAGAGCCCCTGCAGTACTGTGTTTTGCAGGTAATTAGATGTCATAATGTAGAGCCTAACCAAAAATATATGCATTCTGTCAGAGCCATTGCGAAGCTACTTGAACATGGGGCAGGCAAATATGATATATTTGTAGTATCAGTTATCTGAAAGTTGTCTCATGGTAGTTACTGCCAGCCAAACAGCATATTTTAGTAGTTGGTGAAAACCCCTCATGCATCCTATGGTATTCACGGTCAGCCAAGTAGTTTATTTAAGTAGTTGTCAAACACTCACAGCTATCCAAGCTGTAATTTATGGTAGTACAGGCTATCCAGATGGAGCACTACAGTAGTTAGGGCCAACCAAGTGTAATGTTCCTGCAGTATCAGTTTACCACAGGTCATTAAAAAGCAATTGACCTTGTAACCCAATACGCATTTTTTATGTCGGGCAGGAGCCTCAAAACCACTCGGGCATATCACGGATTACATAAAATTACGCTTTGGGAGACCTACGGAGATACCCCTTGGGAGAAAGAGGATTAAACAGTGTGTAACAGACAGCTTCACAATTAATAGAGGAATTAGACAAGGGGATGGACTCAGCCCACTCCTTTTCAATATCTATGTAAATGACATTAAAACATCATTAGACTTGGCTCATAATGACCCACCAAGTCTCCTAAACACAAGTCTCCCATGTCTGCTATATGCAGACGACCTTGTAGTATTATCCCAATCACATACTGGCTT